GCTGGGACTGGGCGCCACTCCCCTTTCGGGGTGCCACCGGACCAGGCTGGCCACCTTCTCGCGGAGCAGCTGCCAGCGAGCCTCACTGAGTGGTCCGGCGCGGCCGCCCACGGGGAGCCCGTGCCACGCAGCCAACTTGTGCCAGACCTTCTCCGGTATGTTGGTCGCCAGGACGCTGATGCCGAGCTCCTCGCAACCCAAGGGCGCGTGGTGGAGCATCTCCTCGATGAATCCTGCGGGCAGTCGCCCTGAGGGTCCCGGAGCAGGTGCCCGGATGACGCCGTCGGGCTTCACCAGGAAACGGATGACGGTGCCAGTCGGGTCCTCCACCTTGAGGGCCATCGCGCCGTCAAAGTACTCGGCAACCGCGCTGGCTGCGGCGGCATCGGCTGCCTTTCCCCGGAAGATCATCCACTGCGCCCCTTCTGGCCAGCACACCTTCGCCCGAACGATGAAATGCTGCCCGAGCGGCTCCGAGCTAGAGTGGCGGCAGCACGCTCTGGCGTGCGGCTCCGCGGAGCGGGGCTCCTCCTGGTCCGACGCCTCAAGCCTGCGAAGAATGTGGGAGTGTCGTTGATCGCCTTGGCAGCGTCGCCGCCGAGGTGCTGCAGGCAGAGTGGCACTCCTGAGCCCATGCCCACCGCTTCGCGGAAGCACGTTACCTGGGAGCACTTCTCGCCATAACGCAAGACCATGTAGATCTGCCTGTGGTGCTCGCATAGGCAAGCCGTCGCATTCCCCTCGCTGGGGGGCGCGAGGTCTGAGGCTCTGCCGTCCTCCACCAACAGCACGGTCGGCTCACCGCGAGCGGCATCGCGACAGCCTTCAGGTGCCAGTGGACGCATCTTGCGTTTGATCGTGAGCCCCATCTTCACCGCCTCGCAGGGGTTGTCCTCGACGTCCACCTCGGACTCGGACTCCTGGTCGAGCAGCCTCGCAACGGACCCCTGCACGCCAGGCTCCGCATCGCCAGTCTTGCGCCGGCGGCGTCGCCGGCGGCAGATGCACGCCCCGCAACACGAGAGCCATGAGACGACGTACAGCAGCAGCTTGTAGGTCAGGCCCAACCACCGCCAGAGCCAGACGAAGATCCGGCAGGGTGTGAACCTCGAGCAGTCGCCGAGGTCCACGATAGCCTCGTTGTCGAGAGCGGCGTACTCCTTGCAGCGCAGCTCGTTCTCGCGCCCGTGCACCCCGTGCAACCCGCGGAGCGGCACAGGTGGAGCCAGCGCGGGTCGCGCTGCTCGAGCTCGCGCCGGAAGCCCTTGTCGCTCGCACCCTTCACGGAGTCATACTCGACCCACAATCCTTGGCGGTTCATGCGCTCCGGGGACTTCATGTTGAGCTTGAGCCGCGCCACTCGGTAGTCGACCCTGATCAGGAGGTCGTTCTGGCTGCGCTTGGAGCCCCTGCCCTCCTTGATGCTCTTGCGGTACCAATCGGTGGTTGGGTCTGCACCCACGGCTGGACCATGCCACACCGTGCGCGTCGGTGAGGGGTGGGGCCGCCGGCGGGACCAGCTTGTCAAGCTTGGCCTCGCCAGGCGTCTTGCGCCGTGGGCAGGGGCAGCATGCCAGCGCCAGTCCGCATGTCCAAGCTGCCCAGCTGCAGGGAGCGAAGAGCGTCCTCAAGCTGTGGGCCAGGAGCGCGATCGCGCCGGTGCCGGAGAGGATCGCCACGAGCCCGGCGACGAGCGGCCACGTGGAGCCGAACAGGTAGAGACCCATCTGGTCGGCCATGTACAGCACCCAGCCTCCGTCGGAGCTCAGCCAACCCCCTGCCTCGCGAGTCGAGAAGGCGGACCTGAAGCCCCCAACGGCCCTGAAAGTGCCCCCGCCCACCCCCTCGGCGATCCAGCGGGTGCGATTGCCGATGTCCTTCCAGCTGATGCCAAAAAGACCCCAACCCCTGATCCCTGATCCAGGACGACGAGTCCGAGTCGGAGGAATCGGGGGGAGTGCGGGTCGGACCTTGGGGAGGTGGGTCGGCCGGCGGCGCGGAGCGCTCGCGCGGCGGACCCCCTCCGGCACCTCCCGCGGGAGCAGCATGCTCGCCTGCGGGGTGCGCTCTGATCGGCAGCGCGTCCACGCGCGAGGAGGGGGCCACGGTGCCGTCGAGCCAGAACGCCTTCATGTCCACGTCCGACATGTCGTCGTAGTACACGCACTCGGCCTCGTGGTCGGCGCCGGGGCCCTGGGGCAGCTCTTCCAGGTGGGCCCCGGCGCGCGCGCGCGCTCTGCCGCCCTCGCCTGGCATCGAGCCGGCGCCGGCGCGGGCTCGCGCCTAGCCGCCGGCTCGGCGGAGGGGGTTGGCAGCCTTGCCTCGGCGGGTGCCGCCTCGCCCCCGGGTGCTCCGCGGCTGGCGTGAGCCGGCGCCGCTCGGCGCCCGGGCACCCCGCCGCTGCGCAGCTGCGCGCCCGCGGGCAGCGTCGCCGCCGCCCCCCAGCCGCGCGGCGCCAGGCGCGGCAACATGCGGCCGCGGGCGCCTCCTTTCAGGCCTGGACCCAGGACCTGAAAGTCTTCTGGCCCCGGTCCCGGGGCCCGGCCTTAGGCCAACTGAGGCCGACCCCCAGCTTGGCTTTCGAAAAAGGCTTGGGCCGCCAAGCGGCGGTGAGAAGAGAAGGAGCGAGAGAGGGCAAGCAAAGAGGCAAGGGCAGGAACAAGGGGACCGCAAGTGGAAGCCCGCGCCAGTTCTGGAAGCGGGGAGATCCATCAGTTTTACCAAACATCCTAATCACCCGCACAGCTGAGCCTGAAGCCACAAGAAATCTCAACGCTTGGTCAAGCAAAGCCGTGAATACTTCGCAGCGCCACAGCCACATCAATCGCAATATTCCATGCTATGTTGCATCTTAACAAAGAAGTCAGGCCAACTTAGCCCAAGCTGGCTTAAACAAGCATGCGACTTCATGGCGCAGCTAGTGCTGAGCCGCAGCTACATATACAGCCACTGGAACAACCACAATACGGCTATACGGCTAAGGCTGAGCCGATATCAGTTGATTATGCGAGCATGCACACGGATAGCGGTGTGTTCAACGTTAGTGGGTTTTTCATTGCCAGCCACGCTAAGCGAATTGGGCGCTAAGCCAGCGTGACATCGAAAACTATCACAACCATAACCACACGCACAAGCCACACGCAGCTGTATAACGTTGTGGATTTTGTTCTGAAGCTAATGAATCCCCGAAGTTGTCTGGAGTTTCATCTGAGGCTTTTCGAGTGCATCAGTTTACCACTGAGTGTCGCCGGCATCAAGCTGTAACCAATAACGGTGCAAGTGTACATTGAGTCAGCGACAACACCAGGAAAGCTACAGCCAAATGTGGACTGACGCCCAAACGCTGTAGCCATGTGTGGGATCGGCTGAGCAGTCAATCGATACAGCTACACAGAATGGACGCACTCAATGTCAATTCTGTTCGTGGGGCTGACAAGCGGGTACACAGGCGAAACATCGAGTTTGGATGTAGGCCTATTTTCCGCGACGTGGTGGACTGAGGCGTTGGTGAGACAATGCATGACGAGGAGCGCCATAATGGCGCTCCTCGGGCCCTGAGGAGCGCCATTGGTGAGCCCACCAGGAGCATCGTCATCGTCGTTTCTTCGATCCCGTCGCACGCGGAGCTGGGCGACGCTGGGCTCTCCCCTGTGAGGCGCAGAGACCAGGCCGAACGGCACGTCGACCCCTTGAGGGGCATGGGAGCGCCCGGCGAGTCTCGGCCCAGTCCCCGCTAGGGCTCGCTGAATCAGGAGACTGCTAGCCAGAGCTCGTGATCGTTTTTTATTCATTGTTTTGCCGATTGGCGCAGGCCCTCCCCCCCCTTTTCCCCCCCCTTTGAGTAGATTTTGGCTGTTTTGGGCGTCTGTTTCGAGCGGGTGGAGCCTCCCCCATGATGAACGCCCTCCTGCAAACAGTCTCACTAAGCAGAGGTCCAGAGCCAGACCCCCCCCCTCCACCCCCCCGTTCCCCCCAATGTCGAAACGCCGAATAAGAAAACGCTGACTTGAGGTTTTCTGAATCAGGATATTGCCAGCCAGGGCTCTGAGAATGCCGCCCGGGGAAAGCGGATGATGGAGATTGTCTCGACCTACGGCTTCAGTTTTCCCAGGTGCGCCAGTGCCTTGTACCCGTACAGCGCCTTGACAGGGCCTTTGGTTAACCGGAGCCCCCATGTGAAGGGCTTTGACCCAACATAGTGATATTGTGTGTGCGTCGCCCCCAAAGGGGTAACGCGCGCGCCGAGAAATATTGTAGTGAATGCTCTGCGGCGCGGATGCTTTCTGGCCGTACCGCTCGGGACACGATGGACTATGAGATGTTTGTGCTATATGTTCGCTGGGGACGTACGCCTCCGAGGAGGGCGCATAGTACTAGTATGTCCCTCTGCGTCCCAGGGGAAGTAGTCGAGCACGTGGTGTTGGTGGGTGCACGCGTATGTGTGTGTGTGTGTGTGTGTGTGTGTCTGTGTGTGTGTCTGTGTGTGTGTCTGTGTGTGTGCGTGTGTCATCCGCCAGCGCAGTCACTCTGTCTAGTCGCCGACGCAAAAAGTGTGTGTGTGTGGGTGTGTCTGTGTCTGTGTCTGTGTCTGTGTCTGTGTCTGTGTCTGTGTCTGTGTCTGTGTCTGTGTCTGCTTGTGTGTTTGTGTGTGTGTGTGTGTTCGTGTGTGTGTGTGTGTGTCTGTGTGTGTGTTTGTGTGTGCCTGTGTGCCTGTGTGCCTGTGTGTGTGCTCTCAGCTCCGGACGAGCTTGGGGGGGGTAGTTTGTGTGCTTGTTCGGGGGCTCCCCTCGCCCGCCGTTCTTCGGTGGGGAGCGAGGGGGGGAAGTGAGAAGGGGCGGGCCTTCTCAGAAGACTCAGAAGTCCCCCAGCCTTCTGAGAAGTTGTTTCTAAGCCTCCCCGAAGACACCGAAAACCTCTCAGAAGGCACGAGGGCTTCTGAGAAGTCTTGCCGCCTTCTGAGAAGGCCTTCTCCTTCGCATTTCCCCCCCTCGCCCGCCCAGACCGCGGCGCCCTCTGGCCTTGAGGCGTCCAGCGTCGTCCCCTGCGTTCTGCGAAGGCAGGCGCTACTCTCGCACCACCTGCTTGGTCAGGGCGGAATGTGGCCGAGGGGCTGTTCATCCTGGCGGACTGACGGCCTGAAGGGACGCCGCTTCACCCTTGCATCGCGATCCATCCTCTTCTGGCCCAGCACTCGCTGAGCTAACTCTTGACCTTCAGGGGCCTCCCAAACCGTCGGAGAGCATTCCAACACGGTCTTCACAGCATTTGAAGTTGCCCAAGGCCTCCCCAAACCCCCCAGCACCATCTGACGCCCTCGAGGCCGTAGAGTACCAGCCCCTGCTCCCAGACTTGGCGCCCCTCTCGGGCGATCCCCTCAGTCTTCAGTCAGCCAGAGCTCTCATGGCCGACGTGTCGCCTTTGGCCGCCCATAAGGTCTCCCTGGTGGCTGGCGCTTGCTCTGCGCATTCAGCATCCGGACACAGTTGTCTCAGCCGCTGGCGGGGATCGATGCATTCGCCGCCCTCGTCCTATTCACCCTCTCCCTCCTCCCCCTTCCTCTCCCCCCTCCTCCCCTCCCCCCCCCAGCATTTTTGGCGCTTTCATCCCCAGGCGATAACTAGCGTTGCCATCTGTGAGCTGCCCTTGGCCAAGCTGAGCCCCGTGACACCTCGCGCGCCCCGCCGTCCAGACCCCCTGGGATTGGGTTAGGATTGAGTCGGGCCACAGGAGGACGATTCGAGAATAGGCAAAAACAGTCTGAGGACGGTTTTTCTTGTATTTTCTGCAGTTCTTGATCATGTATGGAGGATTTTGTACTGTTCCTCCAAACTCCATGGGGGGCCTGTCCGACCTGAGGTTCGGCCGCCCTCCCACCGCATCATCCTTATTTAATCGCTTCGCTCATTCCGCCGGCCCGCATTGTGCCATCGCAGGCGTTTGCTTGCGCGTTCGTGGCCTCTTGGAGCCTCGTTGGGGCCGTTTGGGGCCTCTTGGCGCCTCTTTTTAGGCCTCTTGGAGAACTCGGGAGGCCTCCAGGGGGCCTCCTGAGCTCTCGTGACGGTCTCTTGGGGGGCTTTCGGCGGGCTCTTGGCGGTATTTGTTGGTCCTCTTGGGGCCTGGGGCCTGACGTTGTTGGTCCTCTTGGGGCCTCACGGGAGCTTATTGGGGCGTCTTGGGGGTGTCTTGGAGAGTCTCTTGGGGCCTCTTTCGGGGTCCTGGGCGCCTTCTGGGGCGGAGGGCTCGATTTTTCAGTTCTCGGTTCCCTTCTTGAGCCCCTCTTGGGCCCGTCTTGGGGCCTCTTGGTCCGCCTTGGGCAGCACTTGGGCCGTCTGGGGGGCGCTCTTGGGCCGCTCCGGGGCCGTCTTGGGAGCCTCGTGGGCCGTCTTGGAGCAGTCTTGAAGGCCTCTTGGGCCCTCTTGGAGCGTCCGGAAGCGAAAAGGCCAGAACGCAAAAAAACATAGAAAAAACAAATGAAAATCAACGATTTTGGCAACTTGGGGCCCTCTTCGGAGGCCTCTTGGAAGGCCCTTGGAGCGTCTTGGAGGCCTCTTGGGCTGTCTTGGGGCCATCTGGGGCGTCTTCGGGCGATCTTTGGCCGTCTCGGGCCTCTCTTGGACCGTCTAGAAAGCTTCTCGGGGCCCTCTTGGACCGATCTGGAGCCCTCTTGGACTCCGAAACAGAACTCCGGCATCTCTGACCCGACCTTGCCGGGACCTTGCCGGGGACTTGCCGGGGACTTGCCGGGACCTTGCCGGGGTACTTTTCGTCCGGGGACCCCCAGGGGCCGCCCCGCGCGCGCGAACTAGAAATATTGTTAACCAGGTACCGGAGATCTTAGCACGCCCTGGCCCTTTGGGCCGGCGAATTCCTCCCAGAGACCCGACGTATAGACTTTTTCAATGCGGGATAACCCGATGTCTCGACCCGGTCCCCAGGACCCGCTTTTGCATGCTGATTCGTTTTTGACGGTTTCAGGGCCCGGCGAGGGCCCCGAGAGGCCGAGGACGACGAAACATTCCGAATTGTTTTTTCCCCAACCATCTTGTGGTGTTGGGCTTCGTTTTGAAGAGACAGCGCCCCGCGTCTCCTCTCCTCCTCTCCTCCTCGCTCCTCTAATCATCATCATCATCATCATCATCATCATCATCATCATCATCATCATCATCATCATCATCATCATCATCATCATCATCATCATCATCATCAGTATCATCATCATCATCATCATCATCATCATCATCATCATCATCATCATCATCATCATCATCATCATCATCGTCATCGCCCGTTTCAGCATACCTCCCACACGTTTCGTGGTTCCGTAGGGATCCCCACCGAAGGCCCAAATGCCAGCGTTCGCATGCGGCCACCGCACCCATTTAGGCGTTACCCCTCACACGTTTGGTAGGCCCTTAGGGAGCTCCTCCGAATGCGGTACATTCAACGACGGTATTCACACTTGCATATGGTTGGGTCCTTCGCCAGGCTATAGTTTTTTTGTCAGCGCGTGGGAGATCTGGGCTCGCGCTGTGAAGCAGTCATGCGGGAGGTTGGGGGAAGTTTTCAGCCTCCGGGGGCACCCCCAAGATGCGGCAGCACGAGATGCGGGGGCCCACCGGCTCCGCACGCGCTCGCGCGCGCTCGCGCTGCGGGGCCGGCCGAGAAGAAGAGGAGGGAGTGAAGGCAGGGGAACGGGAGCGTAAGGGGGAGGGGGGAGGAGGGGGGAGGAGGGCGAAGGGGAGGAGGACGATGATGACGAGGAGGACGAGGACGAGGAGGAGGAGGAGGAGGAGAAGGAGGAGGAGGAGGAAGAGGAGGAGGAGGTGGAGGAGAAATAGGAGGAGAAGGAAGAGGAGGAGGAAGAGGAGGAGGAGGAGGAGAGGGCAGGGGACGAGGTCTTCGGAGCATCGCTCGACACTGCCCGTAGCCGGAAGCTCGAAGCTCGAAGGGGTAGGAGGCTGGGCGCAGGGAGGAGGAGGAGGAGGAGGAGGAGGAGGAGGAGGAGGAGGAGGAGAAGGAGGCGGAGTCGGCAGCGCGCCGAGGAGGGGGGGGGCGCGGGCCTTCTCAGAAAGCGGCAGGGTTTCGGAGAGGCCCCTTAAGCCTTGTGAGAAGGCCCGCCCCCTCTGCCTTCCCCTGAGTGAGGAGGCGGAGAGGAGTCTGGGAAGGCTGACATAGAAACAAGCAGCTGCGTATGCATACACTTTCTGAGCTCCGTGCGGATTTTGTGGATCTGCACTGTGCTCCCCTGGCGGCGCCTCCAGCGCCGCTCCTTGCGCGCTCCGCGCGCCAGGGAGGAGGGTCCAGAGACGATCCCCGAGCAATCCGCGCGGACCTTCGCCAGTTTATGTGTATGCATCTCTAGCTACCTATTACGATTGTGCTTGAAGAGAAATGGGCATGCTCATGTTCCTCCTTGCGCTCGTTTGCCTCGCTGTTCCACTGCCAGTGGATACAGTGCCACTGCTGTAAATTTTCCGCTCGGACTTCTACCCCACCTCTCCTGGGCGGTCGAGCAGAATTGGCGCCGGGCAGTTGACCATAATGTGAAGGCAGATCCTGGTTCCGAGGGGGCCCAGTCACAGCTTTGTGCCAGCGGCGAGCCTTACCGAACAAAAAGACGGGCAGCGGTGGGGCAGGGTAGCTTTCTTCACGTCCTTGAGCTCTTCCTCATCGCTCCGTCCTCGAAGAAGAAAACACTTGAGAAGGAGACATTTACGGAGCTCCGAGCGACACATGATGTGTATGTGTTCTCTTCCTCCATTCACTTGGGCCACCCTCTCACATCCCCGTCTCCTCTCATCGGTCTGCCGCCTCTTGCGGTGGAGCTTAATTTCATGATCGAGTTTGCGGGGTTCGAGATTGCCGACGCGCTCTGACAGTCTCGGCATGAGTTTTGACGGCACAGTTTCCGTGCGATGTTTGCAGCGGGGGTTCTCGTCAAATTTCCAATCGGGTTCTGCGGTCTTTCTGGGTGCCCCGCCAGGCCAACTCGAGTTCGTACAGCTCGAGCCTTTCGTCTCCCCGACTCTTGCTCGGGAGCGACCCCGAGGTCTGCTCCATCTCTTCTTGGTCGTCTCTTCCTGGCCTACGCCGGGGAGGCGGAGGACCTGACACGGGACGGAAGGGCAGCAGGAAACGTGATCGGTGGTCGTATTTGGCTCGGCGCGGCTTGGGGGCCGCAGCTTCCTCTGGGAATCCAGGCTCCTCTTGCCCCCTCCTCCTCCTCCTCCTCCTCCTCCTCCTCTTCCTCCTCCTCCTCTTCCTTCTCCTCCACCTTCTCCTCCTCCTCTTCCTCCTCCTCCCCGTAGCCATTGTGGCTCAAGTAAACCATTTCTCGAGGTGGTTTGCAGAGACCAGGAGCCTGCCCAGCAGGCCCGGCCCGCGCATCAGGGGTCTGCTGGGCAAGGCAGGCGCCCTCACATTTTGTATACGCTCCGAGGAGCTCCTGTATCGCACTGGTTGGGCAGGAGATCCGTTCTTCACGGCCGCGCATGGGGCGCAATGAGAAGGATGATCAGCGGACTGGAAGCAAGTACGAGAAGTGCAGGGGATGTGGGTATAAGTGGAACTGGGGCACCAGGTCTGAGTGCTACAAGTGCCAGAGGGGACTGCAGCCAGCCACCTCACAAGAGCGAGCCTCGCAGGGTGCCTCTTCGCGGGGCCGCAGTCGCCCATCGGTCAAGCAGAACCGCGAGGAACTTCTCAAGCAGCTGCGGGCCACCATCCCCGACGGCGACGCAGAGGCCGCCCAGCACCTCGAGGCGCTCGCCCGAGTGCACACTACAGAGGTGCACCCAGACGTCGCCCTCAACCAGGCCCAGGCGCGGCTCCGCAGGGCCGAGGCAGGGCTCAAGAGGACCATCGACAGCATCTCCGAGGGCGAGCGGTTTCTGCAGGACCAGAAGGAACTGCGGGAGAACTGGATCCACGAGGTCGCCGACGCGGAGGCGGTGGTCCAGGAGGCCTACGCTAGAGCGGCGCCCAAGGCCGTCGCGCCTGTGGAGGCGCCCACGCCAGCCCTGGACCTCTCGCAGCTGCTCGAGGGCGACCTGGACATCCTCAGCGTGCGGCCGGGCAAGGCCTTCGACCTCGAGGGGCTCGACATCCCGCCTGAGGAGCACCGCCAGTTCGAGGAGCAGATGGGCCAATTCGTCAAGCAGGTCCAGACGGAGGTCAAGAGGCACTTCGGCCCAACGGCGGAGGGGCTCGCCGCGATGCGAGCGGACCTCCAGGCCTTCAGCGACAGGCTCAAGAGCAAGAGGGCTCGGTCGGAGCCCCCCCCGCCAGAGGCCGCCGCAGCTCCCGCCGCAGCGGCGCCAGCAGGCAAGGCGGCAGGCAAAGGTGGCGCAGACCACAAGCAGCCAGGGGCGGCCGCGGCCAAGGCAGCCCCCACAGCGGGGCCAAAAAACCCTCCCCCTGCTGGCGCTGACGGTGCTCGCGGCGCTGCTGCAGCCAGCGGAGGCGGCGCGGCAGGCACCACTGCTCCTGCGGGGGCCACGGGCAGGACTCCCAAGCGCGAGCTGGCACAGGACGTCCGAGCCAGGATCCTGGAGCGGGCTGCCGTCAAACCCCCAGGGGCGGACACAGACTCCAGCGACTGAGGGACCAGCCCCGCAAGGCTGGCGACGGTGGCGCCAGCGCCCACGCCGCGGTCGGGGCAAGGCTGCCGCGCGAGGGCGAGGAGCGCCAGCCGTTCCTCACGACAT